GGGGGGGGAGGAGGAGTTTATACTTTTACCAAAACATGCACTCATTTATTGTGTTGCAAAGTGGGTCCTTCATACATGTAACTGATCAAAGAACGGCTCAGATAACAAAGTGGACTTAAGATCTTGAAGTTTACAATACCCAATGTTGTCGAAGATTACAGAGTACTCTGCAGTATTGAGTATACTGTATGCCTGATAGTGAGTGTCTTTTTTCCAGTATAAGAGAGAGGAGACAGAGGAAACACAAAGAGGAGTCTTTACTACATTTGGAGAACCTGTTTGTGTGACTTGACTACGTTCACGGAGGTTGGAGAAATGTGTTGATTATTCATGGATATTCATTGTATATTATAATTCTACAGCCTGCTTTAGTTTATCTTCGTTTTAATAATTATATTTACACTGCGGTTTGGTTTATCTTTTTTCTAAACTGTTTTATTTACAGATCGTATTTTAATTTATCTTCTTTCATCACTTTTCTCTTTGCAGCATTTTTTTATATACTGAACTTGCAATGTGGTTTAGTATATCTGTGTTCTTTAATATATCATTTACAGCATGTTTATATTTATCTTTAATCTTAATTGTTCTATTTTCAGTGTGTTCCTGTTTATCTCTGTTCTTAACTGTTCTATTTACATGCTGTTGTATTTTTTACTTTTATCTCTTTTCTAAACATTTCTATTTGCATTGTGTTTTTGTATATTTGCGTCGCATTGTCATTGTTTCAGCAATGCTTACCTACTAGTGATGAAAAAATAGCACAAATACACTTACTGTTCTGAAAGAGAAAGCTTATTTGATATGTATAGTGTCTACCTAGGTCTTTGGCTGGGAGCAGGGAGATGTATACATAACTTTTGGGGGGCAAATTTTAAAAGTTGATTTAAAACGCAGTTAAGTGGCGTCGGTGGCCTAGTGGCTAGGCTCTCGGACTCGCAACCGTACGGTCGTAGGTTCAAATCCCGTCAGGTACCCGACGTTGTGTCCTTGGGAAAGGCACTTAAGGTGGGAATGGGTACCCGCTAGGCCCACAGAGATAGCGAAGTGTGTAGGCTCTAGGTACCCGGCTATGACAGCGAAAGATCTTGTCAGTTTGTTAGTGTTTGAGCGCTTAATCGGCTGCTTGCACTGTATGCTTCCCGGGAAGCTGAGAATGTTTCGCAGTGTTCTATGGTCTGCTGGGTTAATAATATAATGTAAAGCGCATAGCGCCTGCTGTTGAGCGGGGATATGCGCTATACAAATGCTATTTATTATTCATTATTATAAGTAGTCTCTTAATGTAGCCAACCACAAACCAAGAATGTTATGGAATGTTCTAGATTCTCCTTGAATAATTAGAATATCATTGATTGTAAAGCACTTAGAGTTTGCTATTGAGCCGAGATAAGGGCTATACAAATTATATTTGTTATTGTCATTATTATAGTTGTTACGATCATTATTATTGATATTATTATTATTATTATTATTATTATTATTATTATTATTATTATTATTATTATTATTATTATTATTATTATTATTATTATTATTATTATTATTATTATCGTTATTATTGAAAGAGACGGTAGACCCCCAGCCATATCATACAATAGACGGAGGTCGTGGTATTACAATCCACTGATATCGTTTTTTCCCCTACTGATCATGGGATAATCATTTAGATCAATGTTATAATAAAATACAGCTGTGTTATTGTATAATATGTGAGATGTGCTGACAAAATGAGTTACTTCTAAAGATCCAAGAATGGAGATATCGGCTGAAAATCGACAGTGGGGTCAGATTTATAAATTTTCGATTGATGCCATTTTGTTCAAGTTGACTGCGTCTGTTACTATTCCATGCTCACAAATTGTACAAACTTCACCTACCAAGTTGATGTATCAATTTCCATAAGGCTGAAATCCGAGAAGTAACTCATTTTGTCAGCACACCTCACATATTTTTTATTCATACTTACATAATGGTTCTTTAATAACTTTGTTACTTTTTAAAAATTGCCCAGACAGTTTTTAAAACTATTTTTTGGTGGGGGTTTTTCAGAACTGAAAATCCGAAATGGCGAGTAGAGCAATGCTCTTACCTCTGGTATTTTTGGCTGTGCTAAGCACTGTGAAACTTACGGCGGCCGTACGTGGTACGTTGTTTGGCATAATCAACAAAAATTGTGTTCTTTTTTCATGGTTTGTTTTGTTTTTGATTTTTAAAATTTATTTAAACTATAATGTCCCATTGATTATTATAACAAGTACGTTATCAGAGAATGTACACTTGCATGGAGTTGCAAACCCTCTGTCAAACTCTCCGTCTCTCGCTTTCCCCGTATCACACCAACAATGGAAATGACAATTCTTTTTCTTTCATCTCTCAGGGAGAAATTGGTCGTTTACCTTGGCAGCAAATGCTACAAAAGTCAGGTGCTCTCGAGCACACACACAATAAGATATGGTATTAAACTCATTCATTACATGTTGACACCCCCTCCCGCTTTGTAAACGTTCTCTCCCTTCCTCCCTCTCTCTCTCTTTCTCTCTCTCTCTCTCTCTCTCTCTCTCTCTCTCTCTGTCTTTCTGTCTGTCTGTCTGTCTGTCTGTCTGTCTGTCTGTCTGTCTGTCTGTCTGTCTGTCAGATTGTCTCTCTCTCTCTCTCCCTCTCTCTCTCCCTCTCTCTCTCCCTCTCTCTCTCCCTCTCTCTCTCCCTCTCTCTCTCCCCCTCTCTCTCTCTCTCTCTCTCTCTCTCTCTCTCTCTCTCTCTCTCTCTCTCTCTCCCCTCTTTCTCTCTCTCTCTGTCCCTCTTTCATTCTTTCTTTCTCCCCCCCCCCAACATGACCTGCAAATCGTATGTGTTTGAAAGCCATCACCCCCTCTCCAAACCCCAACTCCACTATGTCCACTGTTGTGTCCAGATTTCCCTGAACTGAGCCACCTGAAGACCAAGACGTCCCCAGATGTCCAGAGAGAGGCGGCCAGAGGGGTCATCTCCAGGCTGGTCAAGGACAGAGCCGCGGACTTCGATGTGGACGTGAACCCAGACCTGGGACCCAAGGAGAGAGACACGTTCAGGGTACTTGATGAACATACTGTCTATATCGTACAAGGTCATACTATGCTCTACTGAAGATATTTTTTTACTTATTTGTGGACAGATCATGATAGTCTAGATTTCTAAGAGTATCCAAGCTGAGAAATGAATAAAGCCCACCTCTTAAATCATCTAACTTGTCTCTATGGAGCCACATCTAGATCTATTATCTATTTTTGGAGGCCGAATTTTGCTATTCAAAAGGCTTTGTAATATCTGCTTCGATCGACATGCGGTTTTCGCCAAAAGATTCTTTGAAATACTCTCCAGATCATGACGCCCTTCGTTTTTTTTCAGTTTTGAGACAATTTTGCTGCAAAAAGCAAAATTTCTTTATTTCGCCGATCGCTTTTGTATTCCGACGCTTTTGTCTCTATAATTTTAGAAAATCCGGAGCAGAAGTGATATTTTGCGAGGCACATTTGCTTTGAGAGTATAGATCTAGACATTCTAATTTTTTGCATCTCTCAAGATTTATTGCTTCATTCCAGTAGAGTGTAAATATAGTAGGCTAATGACTTTCAGTTGATGTTAACGCACCGATCATTCCTTTCATCGAAAGAGGACCCAGCTAGTAACACATACATTAAAAAGAATGAAAAGGAATGCTTAAGCTATTAGTATTGCAATATTTCTGTTGTGCACAGCTAAGTTCTACCAAGGATGGAAAAATCCTGATCGAGGGTACGACTGGCGTAGCGGTGTCAATGGGCTTATACTATTACATCAAATACTGGTGCAACGCTCAGAGGACATGGGCTGGACAACAGACGGAGCTACCACCAACTCTCCCGGTCATCGAAAAGCCAGTGGTCATTACAAGCAATGACAGGTGAGTTTACACTCAGCAGACTCTGAAACAGTCAGAAAATTCTCGGCTTCTCGGGAAGGCACAAAGTGCAAGCAGCCGATGAAGCGCCTAAATGCTAACCTGTCCCCGTCGTTTTATGTAAGGAAACTATTCTGAAATTATGCACAGTGAGCCCAAAAATGTTAAATTATGCGATTCTGTTAATTTCAACAAAGACAGATAAAGAAAAATATTCAGAAATTATGCAAAAAATTATCAAATTTTGCTAAATTATGCGGGGTGCATAAAACCACGGGGACAGGCTAACAAACTGACAAAATATTTCGCTTGGTGAAGTGAGAAAGCTTTGTTTTACCTACTTTTTGAGGCATCCGATATAGCATAAAATTCCCAACTCTACAACTGAGCAAGTGCCTCCTGCGTGGAACAGCAAATAGCCTAACTTTTACACCACAAGCATTGGTTTTACCCCTTCTAACTTATTTTGTCATTTCTGTTGGGCTGTATTGTTCTGGAGTGGCATTGTTTTGTTTTGTTATGATTTGTTGTGGGCGTGAGGTTTTTTTGTGTTGTTTTTCTTTATTAGTTATTTATTTATTTACTTATTTATTTTATTTTAAAATTAGTTTTTCTTTTTTTTGGTGGGGGTGGGTGTGGTGGGATGGGGGTTCATTTGTCTGTTTTTATTTCTTTGCTTGTTTGTTTTGTTCTTTTGTTCTGTTTTGTTTTTGTCACTTTTGGGGGGCTTGGGGGGGGGGGGAGTAGGGGATGGTGGAGGGTAAGAGAGGAGTGAGTGTACTTCAAGGCTGAGACAGCAGTGGCATACCTTTGTGAGCATAGTATAGACTACTAATTCTACCACCTCCCTAGGTTCCGCTACTACAAGAACGTATGCACTGAGAGCTACAGCTTTGCCTTCTGGCAGTGGGACAGGTGGGAGCAGGAGATCGACTGGATGGCTCTGCACGGGATCAACATGCCACTCGCCTTTGCTGGACAGGAGGCTATCTTCCAAAGGGTCAGTATGCTTTACTATAATGTACTTGAATTTAGCTTAGTTCTTCTTCTTCTTCTTCTTCTTCTTCTTCTTCTTCTTCTTCTTCTTCTTCTTCTATCCCGTTGTTGGGGCAACCGTTGGGGCACCACTGCATTGGAAAACCAGCTCTCGCTATCTATTTTTGTCTATTGTCACCCATCGTCTTTCCTGTCCCCTCTGTAATGTTGTCCTCCCATCTCCTTCTCTGCCTTCCTCTCTTTCTCTTTCCTTGTACGGTTTCTTGCAGGATTGTTTTGGCAAGTCCTGTGGATCTTGTGACATGCCCATACCATTTTAGTTTTCGTCTCTTCACTGTGGTCAGTAGATCTTCATATTGCCCCACTACGTTGGTGATTCTCTTTCGTACTTCAGCATTTGAAACGTGGTCTTTGTACGAGATGTCAAGGAGTCTGCGGTAACATCTCATCTATGTGGTCTGAATCTTTTTCTCTAATTCTGCTGTTAGTGTCCACGACACGCAGGCGTATAAAAATATTGAGATGACCAGTGAGCGCATCAGTCTAATGTTTTTAGCTGTGCGTGATGTTTCTGTCCCTCCAAATAGGCTTCAGTTTTGACAGCGCAGCTGTTGTTTGCGCGATTCTCGAGAGAATTTCTGGTCTTGAGCCTTCATCTGAGACGATAGATCCGAAGTATTTGAAGCTGTTGACGGTCTCAAGTTTCTCGCCCCTGACTTTGATGTTCGCATTGATGCCATTGGTGTTATTGGTCATTAGCTTGGTTTTCTCGGCACCGAACTTAGTTCACATATTTTCAAAAAAGAAAGGAAAAATAGAAATCATGCCAATAAAGCTTGACTTTAAAAAAAATGTACCAACAGTTTCGACTTAAGATCTAAGAATTCTTATATTCTTATCGAGTTATTCGGTCTTTGTGCTGATTCGTTGTGTCCCCCTTGACCAGGATTGAAGCCCGCCTCCTAATATCTAAATTGCGTCAACGGCTGGATAAAACATTTACTTTAGAAAGCCTCAACTTTATCTCCTCTGTCTTTCGTCTTAGTGTTATTAAATTTTCTTTAAAGATTTTTGAGACATGATGAAAAAACTCGTTAACCCCTGTAGTCCATGGGCAGACACTGTCTTGGACTAGTCTGTAAGATTTTAAAGCAGCTTTAACAGCGACAGGATTTACTATGTTGACTTGGGGAGTTTTTAACTTCCTCGTAGAATACCTAGCTGAAGAGGGAGGGGGGGGGGGGGCAGACTATTTTGGAAAGACAAGAAATGGTACGAGTTGACAGATATTTGAACCCCCGAGTTTATACCAAACTGAGTTTCCGAGACGGCTGGATAAAACATTTACTTTAGAAAGCCTCAACTTTATCTCCTCTGTCTTTCGTCTTAGTGTTATTAAATTTTCTTTAAAGATTTTTTTTCATCCAGCCGTTGACACAATTTTCTATACTATTGATACTTCCAAGTGATCTTCATGTTTTTCATTATCTTTCCAATTTTCCTACATGGCACCGAGACCTAGACTTAACCATAGAAAGAAGAAAACATCTGTGTTTGAGATACGTGATACCATAGAACGGCCAGAATTAACTGGAAAAGCAAAAAGGTCACAGAATGAGGTTCGCCAGATCCTCCACACAAGACAAATTTTATTAATGAAATGAAAAGTAGAAACATACAATACTTTGGTCAAATGAAACGCCACCACACAAATAAGGGGAAAATACTCGAAGGCAAGATCTAGTACAAAAGGTCTAAGGAGGAACAAATTAACAATGGGGACTGATAACATCAAGGCATGGACTGGCCTAGGTATGACAGAGTGTATGACGGCAGGCAGTGACCGTGAACAAAGGCTGGTCTGTGTACGTCAGCCTCTGTACCAGAGATGGCACCTCCAAGTCTCTAGATATATCCGTTTTCTGTTCTATTATACTTCCAGGTGTACTTCCAGCTGGGATTCAACCAAACGGACCTCGATGAACATTTTGGAGGACCGGCGTTCTTAGCATGGTAGGTTTTCATTTTGCCCCCCCCCCCCACCACCCACCCATCCTCTATGTCTCTTTAGCTCATTAGATAAGTTCCTAATTTTAGATGCCTCTTTCAATGCTCTCCAAAATCAAATCATTCTGATATTATTTTTTTAAATGTTGGAGTAGGTGGGATATTAAATGCAAGCTCTTTTCATTTATTACTTAATTTATTTATTTTTGGTTAACGTTTCAAATGATTTTTCTTTAGGTGAGGGGGATTATTAACAGAATTAATATTTATATTTCAATGCTGTTATCAAGCAATAGTTTCCTGCTAGTTCAACGAAAGGAATTGATCTAATGATGGTGTGATTAGATATTAAAGATAAATAAAGCACACATGTCTCTATTGAAAAAACTGGTATTGAAATTATCCTCCCACCCCCCACCCCACCCTTACACACCCCCCTCCACACACACACACACACACACAAACACACGCACGCGCACACACACACACACAAACACACACACACACACACACATACACACTCACACACCTTTTCCCAGGGCTCGAATGGGAAACATGCGTGGCTGGGGTGGCCCGTTACCTCAAGCGTGGATCACTAGTCAGCTGATCCTTCAGCACCAGATCATGAGGCGCATGTTTGACCTCGGCATGACCCCTGTGTTGGGCGGGTTCGCCGGACATGTTCCAGCCGCCATTACTCGGTAAACCAATTTTTTTAAAAAGTTTTTAACCCTTTTTCTAGCAGAACTGCTCTTCAACGCAACCAAACAGCTTAAGACAATGTCAGGCCTGGCAGTATAGGGGTTAAATTTTGGTGTTTTACTCCCTCATCGACACAATTTGGGTCATTTAGGAGGCTGTCGTCCAACCTTGCATGTCGGGCTCAACTGAGACTGAGAGGGATACAACATCCTGGAAAAAAGACTGAGATACTCGACAAATATTTGCGCCATTTGGGAATCAAACTTGGGTGTCCTGCGTGCGACAGCGAAGCGTCGTACCACCTCTCATCGAATATCTCCATTTTCTGCTGGGACGTTGATGCCCCCCCCCCCCCCACCCCCACCATCCGATCAGCCCGCACGGCCATGGTAGGCAGAGATTTAAAAAAAAAAAACACCCCCGAAATGATGTGAATGTGACGCATCGTGGTGAAATCAGGCGCTCGTAAAAAGAAAACAATCTAATAAACCGGCATTTTTTCTGAGCGTTGGGCAACTTTTACAGATAATTCTTATAAATAATATTCATTGCCACTTTTCACTAGTATGCCCCAGCATGCGAACTTTGATTTGAAAGTTCTTTTGGCACTGAAAACTACTCATTAAATTATTTGGTAGGAAAAGGGTTATGTTGACTTAATTAAACTATGACATCTTTCATATTGCAGAGTTTTTAGTTGCTTTTTGTCTGTAGCATGTTGGATGGCCTGGCTGGGTGGAATGTTGTATGTTTTCAGGGTATCCTTCACACCTTCGATCCAGGTCTTCCTTGGTCGCCCTCTTGCCTTGTACCATAATATTGTTTGTAACATATTTTACTGGCAAGCTGTCAGATGTCCAAACGACCTGATTGTTTGCCTCTGGGTGTGTAATGTGTTGTTTCCATCATTTCTTTGATCCTGTTGTTTCTGATCATGCCCCGTCTAGTGTTGTTGACGGCTCTCCTTAGACATTTAATCTCGCAGGTGGTTATCTTATGCTCTAGACTTTTGGTCAATTCTCAGGCTCGTCAGTGAACGAGTTAAAATCGGTAAGTACCGTAAAGTAGTAGAAATCCACCCCCCTTTTAAAAAATCATCTAAAACTCTGAGCCACCCCCCCCCCCCCCCCACCCCAAACCCTTGCTCTCTGGCTGTGCCTTGTGTACTGAGCCTTATATCGCTGATAACAGACAATATGGTAGATACTATGCAACGAGTGCTGTGATGTTAATATGACAATTCATCTAAAGTTAAGACTTGTTTATCGATAAAGGTCTCGCTCGAGCATAGATAACCATGTCTTTTCATCACATAAAGTATCCTATTAGTGATAGTATTACCACATTACAAGTCTTTATCTATGTTTTATACAATCCAAGCAGAACTGTGGAGTTATACGTCTGATTGCGGGTTCGCAAAAGGGTAAAAGGGTTAAGGGGGGGGGGGGGTCAAGGCTCATTTTGGTTCGACGTTGCGTCCTTGACAAAGATACTTGACACGAGTTTTTCCATTTGGCTCTTTCCTATCGGAGACAGACGTTGCATTTGGAGGTCTTGCCCCTTAAATAGATTTACAGTGTTGCAAAGGCCTTTTAACTTATACACCTTCGCACATTTTACGAACAGAACTAAAACAAACCAGAGCAGACACAAGCAGCAAATGCAAAAGCCTGGCAACTACAAGAAGACTGCTCTTTCAGCAGGATTGGATTTTCCATAATTTGACAGCTACTATTACGCCTCATTTGAGTACATAATGCTTTTAGCTTTGGTCACCTTCATGAAGCAAAGCTTCATAGAGGCGAAAATATCAGTATCCAGTTGTTGTTGTTGTTGTTCCTTTAAATTCCTTTTGAGAACCAACAGGAGTGTAACATAAAGCAAATTACCGAAACAACGACATTGGAACCTGCTTTAACGAACACCTGTCCAAGACAACCACCTGTAGAAAGGACCACTTCCTACTTCCACCTTGCGTTTTTATTTTCATAATTACAATGATGACACTGTCCAAGATATCCACCTGTCTAAGACAACCACCTTTTTCTTTAGACTAAAAAGGCCGTATCGGACAATTTTGACAGTACAATTATATATTGGTCTCTCATTTCAGACTGTACCCCCATGCAAACGTCACTCGCCTCGGTTTGTGGGCGGGGTTCAACTCCACATACTCAGGGTGAGTCTCCCAAAATACTTCATCAAAACACACTTTTTTCTTCTTTTTTAGTATAGGGTAGTTTTGCTTTGCTCCCATCTACACAATTTAGATGATTTTGGAGCCAACTTCGCATCGTTCCTGTCTGGACTAACCCGAGCAGAAAGGAACATAAAATCCCAGGAGAAAGACTGAAATACTGGATACAACTTTCCTCTCGATTTAAGAATCAAACTCGGGTCTCCTTCGTTCGACAACTAAGTACCTAAGTGCTACACCACAGCTTCCGGTCTCAAACACCCTGTCTGCCCGTACTGTTGTATCTGCATAAAAGTCTCCTGTTTGTTTTAGTAGAGATTTTACGGCGCTCCCAACTGCATAAAAGTCTCCTTTGTCTTTGTCGGCCTGCAATGACCGATAGAATTGATCGTGATTTTTTACTCACCCTCCTCCCTTGCGAAATGATAAATAAGTAAATCAATCAACCAATCAATCAATCAATCAATCAATCAATCAGTCAGTGAATCAATCAGTGAATCAATCAGTGAATCAATGAAATTAAAATAAATAAATGAAAAAATAAATAGATAACAGCAATTGAACATACAATAGGAAATAAACATATAAATGATATGTGAAAACAAACAAACAAATATATAAAATTATAAAAACAAAGACGAAAAACCAACATAGTTTAGATCAATTAGGAGGCATTCCGCGTCAGTCCTGCTGCAAAATACTCGCTTGAGTGCTGTGCTCATTAACCCTATCCTTACCCCTTCTATTGCTGCTTTAACTGCGTACTCCTCGGAGCGCCAAATCAAGGTGTCACACTTTATCTACACATTTTGTTGGAAAAATGGATCCGCCAGTTATACAGAAATGTTGATGTCCTTCCGGTCATGAACCTTCGCTAACTGAAAGCTCCTGAAGTAGGACTTCTTCAACGTATACCAAATGACTCTTACTCTCTCCCTGTACCTTCAGGTACACAAGGAAGAGAGCAGTCGACGACACGCATATCAAAGTCTTTAATTTTAGTAGGGGCTTTTACGGCGCTCGCAACTGCATAAGGTCATATGAGCACTTATCTGTCCCTCGTCGCTTGCTTTTGCTTTGACACATCTACGTCTTTAGTGATTGTCTCATCTCGGATTATATTCTTATAGCTGTCAATTGATCTACCTCTTTTTCTTTTTCCATTTGGTCCTAGCCCTAGAAGTGACCCTAACATTCCACATAGTATTATTTACTTTTTTTCTTGTTCGTTTAGTCTTGGAGATTCATTATTCTTTGTTTTCCAGGACATACTTGTTGGACTTTGAGGATCCTTTGTTCAAGAAAATCGGAGGTCTCTTCATTAAGGAGGTATAGTGGACTTCAATTATATGCTAGACCTATAGCTCATAACATGACTGAAATCGTTTATTATACTCATAGGAAAAAGATAGCAACGATCAGAGCAAATTCGAAAAAAGAAAATCTAGCTACTTTTTGCTGAACTTAGAAAGTTGGATCCCAACTGGTTTGCAAAAGTTTGGTTCGCCGAGATTGAGAAAGGTTTTGATACTTGTGTATTTCTATAGTTTTTGAAAAAAAATAATTCTTTTTTATTCGATACCAAAACATGAACTCTGCAGGATTCAAGTTATGTCTTGCACAGCGATAGATTCAGCTTAGACTTTGTCGTCCTTGTTGTTGCTGCTTAACCTCAGAAGGGTGAATAGTCTGGAATCGTGGGTGTAATTTACTTGACAGGGTAGATCTAATTTTCTGCCCTATTTCTGTTCTGTTTGAGGGATAGTTCACTCCCATTTCTTGGTCTGTTTGCGTTTCAGACAATCAATGAGTTCGGTACAGCTCACCTCTACAACGCAGACACATTCAATGAGATGACACCAGCTTCAAAGTAAGATTTGCTCCTCGGACTAATTTATCTTCGTAGTTGAAAGACTCGTTTTGCTGTTCCTCGTCTTCCTTTCATTTTCATTTGTCACCATGTTTGCCTTCCACACCCTTTGAGCTTGTCTTTTTTTCTGAGATTTTGACTTATGGCAAACATTCAGTTTTACTACTCCGTCCCTTATCTAAATTTTGATAATTTAAGAGACTGGCTGCCTTCAGGGTCAAGTCAGTGTAAGCAAAATAAGGTATAACAAACGGAAAGACACACATACTCGAACACACGAATTTCCCCTAAGAGTTATAAACTCACATCTTCTGCCTTTTAAGCCGGAGAGCTTAACCAGCCCAGCATGTACGACTGTTTATTTAACTGAAAAGAATGAAACAAGCAAACACACAAAAAGGAAAGACGTGACATTAAAATCGGAGAAAGTAACTAACCTTGTAGCATTTAGTCTGACCTTGACATATGTAGTCTGACCTTGACACATGTAATATGACCTTGACAAACGTAGTGTGACGTTAACACTTCTAGTAAGACTTTGGCACCTGTTGCCTGATCATCGTAAAATTTAGTCTGACCTTGACAAAAAGATAGTTTGACCTTGAGACTTGATGTACTATTTGTAGTCATCATTGCTCTTAATACATATTTAATATTCTAACCTTGGCACACCTAATCTGACCTTGACATATATAATCTGATCTCGGCACATCAAATTTGATCTTGATATATCTAGTCCTTCATTGTCTGACCTAGTGCGAACATTTGAGCATCTCTCAGTTTCACCAGAAGTATACGAGCAGCATGTATCTCACCTTACGTCTCCAGTTACGCTATCACTCTACACCACCACCATTGCTTTGACCAAATGTACCTCTATGACTCAGAACGTACTCAAAAATGTTTCAGCTCTTCAGAATACTTGTCGAGGGCAGGACGTGCTGTGTTCCAGGGTATGCTAGCTGGAGACGAGAAGGCCGTCTGGTGAGTGTCTAGCTGATGTGGGTGGAAATAGTAAGATGTATCCCATGATGCGTCACAAATTTCCCTAAAACTCCGTTCCTGGTTTAAATCTTTCAGAACGCAAGGAATTCCTTCAAACGGTTATAACTCAGTCAAATATGGATAGATTTGTTGTGAGCACTCAATCCATTCGGAACTGGACAGAAAATTACAATGTGGGTGAAAATAGGCTGGACGTGTAGCACTGGATCAAATGTAGATCTTGGGGTTTATGAAATCTGTGCGCCCAGTAGCAAATCGGGGCTCGAAGAGTTAACCTTTATCCAGAAAAATATATACTGAACTAAGCAGAAAGGAAAAATTCAAGGTATAAATTACATATATAATTTGATTATAGATGAGATGGATACTCTGTTTTGGGGAATATTGTTATGATAAGAAACAACAGAGCGATGTCTACTCCAGCTAAATTGGCGTGCTGTATACTTAGAGTTAATAATTAAGTATCACAACTCGGTGGAATCAGGCGCTCTTCAGACAGTCAGTATTATATGGAGTGATTTGTACAATCTTAATACTGGTTCATTGGTCTTTCTTCAAATGATAAAAATACTCATTTGTGAAGAAAAGAAATCGAGATATTTGCGATTGAAGGAGATGGGGGAGTTTGAAGAATTTTAAGACTTGGGAGTCCTTTGAATTTGCATTTGTTATCCCTCTGATCAACGTTTTATTTATTAAAATGTGTTTCAACTGGACATAAAAGGTATTGAACCACCCTCACCCCCTTTTTTTTAAATCAATAAATTAGAAATAATGTCAACATGCGGAAAAAAATGTTGGTGTCCTCTATTTCATTACTTTGACGAGCCTCTGATTTCACCCTAATGCCACACATTATAGTCTTTTGACCAATCCACAGGGTTATGCAGGGCTGGTTATTCCTAGATTCGTCAGGTTTTTGGGGACCTGAGCAGGCCAAAGCCCTGGTCACTTCTGTTCCTCAGGTAAGTTGCAGACGCTTCACACACACCCCCCCCCCTTTCCCTCCAATAAAATAAATTAAAAATCGTCAACACAGTTTAGATCACTTAGATACTTACTTAGATAGCGGCCTATCTTGACCTTCTCTGTCAGTTCCAGATTTGGGTGATAGAGATGATACGATGCCCCGACAGAGAGACTGAGGTATCGACACCTAAAGAGAACTCATGTCTTCTGTGTGCAACTGCAATGCGCCTAATACCCAGTGCCCGTCAGCACGATCGGTTCGTTTCGGTTCGGGTTGCTCGCCAGATTGATGTGGAAAGCGGATATCGTGGCGCAAACCGATCGCCCGACTCGTTGCCTCAAAAAGAAATGTGTTTGTTTTCAGGCGACGAGTCGGGCGGTCGGTTGGCGATCGGTTTGTATTAGAGATCCGATCCCCTAATGGGCACTCCGTATAACCGCTACATCACAGACGCCAGTATCCCCCCCCCCCTTTCCTCCCTCAATAAGGTCTGCGATGTAATCAGTACCAGGATAAACAAAAGGTAGCTCATTCTACTGAACAATGTATGGCAAAACTTTCTGAGTTGTGGATGTCTTGTGGTTGTCTTTAAAAACTTATTGAAATGGTTTAAGGAAGTCTATTTATATTAAAAAGACAAACCAACAAAACAATCAAAAGCAAAGCAACCAAAATATGTCCCCATGGATCCGATAATAAAGCACGACGTACGGATATGGTTAAACCAACGTTTCATTCATACTGGTCTTTTCAACTAACATCAAACCTTTCAAATACAGATGCACCTCTAATCTGACAAAAGGACACATACACCAAAAAACAACCCCAAACACTCTGGCGACTCATCACACTTTTTGTTGAAAAAAAAAGAATCAAACTAGTTGGTAAAGAAAGTTAACAAGAATTAAATAAAAATTCTGTCTACAGGGTCGAATGATCATCTTGGATCTAGCCACGGACCTTATCCCAGCCTACCCAAACTTTGACTCTTTCTACGGCCAGCCCTTCATCTGGTGCATGATTCACAACTTTGGCGGCACCTCGGAGCTCTACGGGACTGTGGATGTCTACAACACGGTTGCTGATTGCTTTCTTTCTTTATTACTTTCCTTCTATATTGTTATCTTTTTCTGTCCTTCTTTGTCGTTATCTTTCTATCATTCTGTATCTTCCCGTTCCTCTTTGTCTTATTTAACCAAAAAAGAAAAAAAAATAACTTTTTTAAAAATGTAGGTGTTATACACCCCAATAGAACATTCTTTCTTTCTGTCTTTCTGTCTTTCTGTCTTTCTTTCTTTCTTTTTTTCTTTCTTTCTTTCTTTCTTTCTTTCTTTCTTTCTTTCTTTCTTTCTTGACCTCTTTGTTGTAATCTTTCTACCATTTTGCATCTTACCGTTTCTTTTTGTCTTAGTGAAGCAGTAAAAACAATAACTTGTTTAATGCTTGTGTTTTACACCCCACTAGACTATTTTTTCTTTCTTTATCTCTCTCTTTCTATTTTTCTTTCTTTCTTTATCTCTTTTTTTCTATCTTTCTTCCTTTCTTTCTTTCTTTCTTTGTCGTTATCTTTCTACCTTTCTGCATCTTACCGTTTCTTTTTGTCTTATTGAAGCAGTAAAAGCAATAACTTGTTTATTGCATGTGTTTTACACCCCTATAGACTATTCTTTCTTTCTTTCTCTCTCTGTCTTTCTCTTTCTATCTTTCTATCTTTCGTTTTTTCTTTCTTTTCTTCTTTGTCTTTATCTTCCTACTGTTCTGCATCTTTCTGTATCTTTTTATCTTATTGAAATAGAAAAAAAATCACTTTTTAATATAAGTCTTTTACACACCCCTATTGACTATTTAGGCACTTTTTAGAGTGTAGGCTTCCTCCCTGCCAGTCACTGTCAGGACCAACTCCTTCTCTTCTTCTTCTTCTTCTTCTTTTTCTTCTTCTTCTTCTTCTTCTTCTTCTTCTTCTTCTTCTTCTTCTTCTTCTTTAAATGGAATATCCTAGTGTCCCAGATTTGATAAAGTTGGATTCAAAGATTCACACTCTCATAGCTACAAATGTGTTCATATTTTACTTGATTGGTATGTCGTGTCAAACTAGTGGAAATGCAGGCCAGACTGCCAGGAGTCTTTGACATAGTGTACACGGCTTCTGTGTAAATAATAATATGTAGTGTATTACTCAGTTGTGGCAAAAAAGTGGAGTTAGAACCCTTACATTCTTTTCCAGCAACCGTTCAAAGGCCGCACTTTCCCCAACTCCAGTATGATCGGCATCGGGATCACCCCGGAGGGAATCAACCAGAACGAGGTCGTGTATGAGTTTATGATGGAGAACACCTGGAGGACAGAGCCTAGAGATATATCCAAGTGGTCAGTTATTTTTCTTTTCAAAAATAGTGTTTTCCAGTTAAACTCAATGTTTTCTGATCAATCGCAATGTTTCCGCTTAACAATTGTCATAATATTGTTTTTATTTCAACATTTTTTCAACATTTCACAAATTCAACATTTTCCGGTCAAATAAAATGTATTTTCTTTTCTTTCACACAATGTTTTCTGATTTTAAAAAATGTATTCCGGTCAAATATAAAGCTTTTTGGCCAAACACAGTGTTTTTCAAAACTAATGTTTTCCAATTAAGTTCAGTGTTTTCTGATCAAAAGCCATGTATATTTTTTTAATCAAACAGTGTATTCTGGTTAAATTAAATGATTTTCGGTCAAACAGTGTCTTTCAAAAATAACGTTTTCCAATAATCAAACCCAGTGCTTTCTGAGCAAACACAATATTTTTTTTTAGCAAATATTGTATTGCGGTCAAATTTAATGTTATTCGGCAAAATACAACTTTAAAAAAAAGTTTTCCAGTTTAACTCAATGTTTTCTGATGAAACCAGGGGCGAAGGCTGACTTGTTTGACAGGGTAATCAAAGTGAAATGGAACCAGATAGGGCCTGGAGATATCACACTCACACAAGTCACAAGAATCTTACTGGCACTGGAGGCGGCAACTCTGAGTTGTGAATGAAAACAAATCCTGAATTCATGTTGTATGCTTGTTCAGCCGCTAAAATAATCGGGAAAGTATTTCATTAAATATTTATTCTAACTAACCTTAAATTTAACTTTAAATTTGAACACACGAACACCAAGGAAAGAAGCAGAGATGTCAGCACTACAATGGCATGTTATACCAGACAGCCGAAACACTTTGGTAGAGCATGCCAATTATTAATTTTTTATTTCACATTCGGCTGTTTTTTGTCTAGCTTTTCGCGGCCAGGAGCCGGTGTCATAATCGAGGTCACGATCTGATTATAGGACGTTAAAAAGTCGAGGAAAAAAAACAACAAGCACTAGCAGTGTAGTAGCAGGAGTCAAAGGATTATTAGGAGTTAGTTCCCCTCACATCTGTGAGGTAGACTCGACCAGTGTAATAGTTCGCTTACTTAATCAGCGCGTCTGGGTGCTTATAACTGTGGCCTAAAAGGGGTGAACATGGTATATGCGACAATGAAACAGTTCTGACTGCTATGCACCTGTTCCCTTTAACTCTATTGGTTGACTCTTCCAGCCTCACTTTAAGCTTACTTAATCAAAGCTTGTGACTGCTTATGGGGTGGCCCTATAGGGGCGAACAGGCTATTTCTGTGGCAATGAAACGGTTTTGAAGGTTAGGCATAGTGTATTTTTCATTGGTGATTATGAACGACTTTTTACATTTAATTTATGAGGTTTACGTCTATGGGTGAATTTGACAGCGACAATGTTTCAAAATTAGGAAGGGAAGCAGTGATTATTTGATTATATAGACGCTTCGCCTCTGGATGAAACGCAATGTTTCCGGTTAACAATTTGGCCAGTCAAACAAAGTCTTTTCTGATCAAAGACAGTGGGTTTTCGGGGGTCAGACAGAATGATTTCGGTCAAAACATTTGGTTTAACTCAATGTTCATCGGTAAGATACGGTGTTTTCTGGCTTAACACTGTACTTTATAGAGATATGAAAACGTTTAAAACCAAAGACATCGAAAAACTGTATGACACGTTTCAGAAAGTCACTCTTTATTATTTCAGAGAATCTGCTTTTGTTCTCGGAAAAGATGGTCGCCAATGACTCCGTACGCCGTGTTTTACTATCATATTCATACGACGTGGAGAACTCTGTGCCACCACTTTCCAAAGAGAAAATTTACTCGTGAATCCGATCCGTACACTTTGCATAGTTATCTGTCAAAATGATATTTTGAGAAATACTGAAAGTTTCAGAGATCTTCGTACTAGAAGTATTCTAACATGTGAAGAATACAACCCCGGGGATAAAAAGTGACCCCAGGGCGCCTGTTTTAAACTTGTTTCACCCAATATTGTGACTTCAAATCTGCAAGGTTTATTTCCGGTTGTCATTACATTATTCGTGCGCGTGTGATAAGCAAGTAGATGTGCGTGTGTGTTTGTGAGTGTATGTGTGTGTGCGTGTGTGTGTGTGTGTGTGTGTGTGTGCGTGTGCGTGAGTGTGTGTGTGTGTGCTTGTGTTTTGTGTGTGTGTGT